AATTCAGGGTTAGATATACAAATGTCCATTATGCAGATACCCTTGTTGATGAGATATGCCCCCCTTCCCCAGGTAGATTCCCAGTACTGCCAATCACACTTCCCTGCTCCTCTTCCAGTTTCCTGCTACTGCCAATCCCTTTCTTATAGCATTACGATAATTGTTCAAGATCTGCTTATAAGTGAGAATATGTGACGCTCAGTTCTTTGTTTCTGTGAAATATCACTCAGTATTATAAACTCTAAATCCATCCAGGTTGCTGTGAAGTTCATTATTCTTTTCTTCTTTATGGCTGTGTAATATTCCATTGTGTATATGTACCACATTTTTAATACCACATTTTTTTTTAATCCAGTTCTCTTTGGCAGTATGGTTGGTTCCATGTTTTTGCTATCGTAAATAATGCTGCAATAAATATGCATGTGCAGGAATCTTTTTCATAGAGTGATTTGAGTTCCTTCAGGTATATTCCCAGTAGGAGAATTGTGGAGTCATATGAGAGGTCAATTTTTAGATCTTTTACGAATCGCCACACTGTTTTCCACAGAGGCTATACTCGTTTACACTCCCACCAACCGTGTAGAAGTGTTCTCTTTTCACCACATCCTCTCCAACATCTGTTGTTTTTGAGTTGTCGATGATGGCCACCCTGACTGGAGTTAGATGTTATCTCAGTGTTGTTTTAGTTTGCATTTCTTTGATGATTAGTGAGGCTGAGCATTTTTTCATGTATCTGTTGGCTGCTCATATGTCTTCTTTTAGGAAGTATCTATTCATATCTTTTGCCCACTTTGTAATGGGGCTGTTTGGTGTTTTTTCTTTCGGCATATTTTGAGTTCCTTATAGATTCTAGATGTTAGACCTTTGTCAGATATACAGTTGGCAAATATTTTTTTCCCAGTCTGTGGGCTGTCTCCCTGTTCTCTCAATGGTTTCTTCGGCTTTGCAGAAGCTTGTCAATTCGATGAGGTCCCACTCTTCTATCTTATCTCTTATGGCAAAACTCTTGGGGTTTTGATCAGGAATTGGTTGCCAGTTCCAATTTCCATAAGGGTGTCTCCTGCATTTTCTAAGATTCTTACAGTCTGAGGTTTTATGTTTAAGGTCTTTGGTCCATTTAGAGTTGACTTTTGCATATGATGATAGTTAGGGGTCCTGTTTCAATCGTCTGCATGTAGTCAACCAGTTTTTCCCAGCAACATTTACTGAATAGGTTCTCCTCTCCCCAGTGGTTGATGGTAGAGGCTTTGTCGAAGATGAGTTGGTTGAGAAATTGATGTTTTCCTTCTGGAATTTCTAGAGACAGTTCATCTTTAAGTCTTTTGAAATATCTCATGCTAAACACTATTTTAAAACTAACATTAAATCCTGGAGATTAAACTTCTAAACTTTCTATATCAGTAAATTCATGCACTGGACCAACACCAATATTAATACAAGTAAATAGTAAGCATGACTATTTTTTTCCTGAGGCTCTTGGGTGCTTTATAGAAGCTACTACATTTAGTTCTTTCAGTAACCCCGTGAAGTAGATGTGTATCCCTGCTTAATAAAGGAGGACTCTGAGCCTTAAAGGGTAAGTGCACACAGAAAATAAGGGACAAGACAGAGATGTGAGATGCCCAGAAACTGACCAGGTTGCGTTTTCTGCTTCTCAAAAACATAACAAAGCAATCTAACTACAAAAATTCTACCCAAGTTCCAAGTGTTTTTAGATTCATTTATTAACAAAGCCTCTTAAGGATAATGTGAGTATATTTTAGATTGAGTCTGCCTTTAGACAAGAAAATAATTACATGACCAAGCACCTGCCCTATCTCACACACTTAACAACACAGGATACACTGATTTGAGCAGAAACTGGCTTCTCTTGTATATTAAGACATTTAAATTGATTGCTATTCATTCAAAAATAGTTTTTGATTTAGACTGCTGGAGAATGTGCTATATTTAGGAGGAACTATAACTTATCACAGCTGAATCTAGTGACTTTACTCATAGTTTCACAGTACTAATTTTTCTATTGTCAGGCTCTATTTAATTTTTGCTCCATTTATCGTACTTTATTTTATTTCTAATGATGCTATTTGATGTTTCTTTCTAATAATACTATAAAATTTGTGTCTTTTCTTTTTTCAGGCTATTCCAGGAATTTCAGAGAAGGAAAAGGCTGGTAAGTTTATATTCTGGTTCTATCTTCTCGCCTGTTTTAGAAAAAAATTCCATCCTAAAATAGCCATTTCACTAAATATTTAAAATGCATGGGCTCAAAAACATCTGTCTAAATGTTATTGTTGAATTTCTGAAAAAGAAATTTGTTTTGCTCAAAATGTGAGAAAGCAATGTGTAGTTTCCTAACATAACAGTACAATGTGTTAGAATAAGATGTATGCTTCTTGCAACCTTACTTGTAACTACAACCACGAGTTCTCTCTTTTTTTCTTAAGTATAAGATTTAGATGTTGATCAATGTACTGGGGGATGTCTTTGGAAATCATCTGTTTGTTTTTTAACTTTTAATTTTTCATTTAAAGGTGGGGTGCAATTCAGGGTTAGGTATACAAATGTTCATTATGCAAGTACCCTTGTTGATGAGGTGTAGGAAATCATTTGTTAATAATCATGAAGATTTATTTTAATCTTAAAGACTTATTCAGTCATCACGGAAAAAGATTTGCTTGCTTTTTAAAATTGATGCTATACTATCAAAAATACAGTTATGAAGCAATGTGAATAATTGAATTGGAGAAAAACATTATGGTATTTTTCTATGTCTTATGCTCTGATTATAATTATTTAACAGCATCATGGAAGAATGGACAACTGATAAGAAACATGGAAATATGAAAAATTAGACTCAGATTGGTGGAATTATATGCTTTTTAAAAATCTTTTTTATCTTTCTCAGTATTGTCTTATGTGTTCTGTGTAAAGAAAACACAAACAGATTAAGGGTGGTTTATCAAACTTGAAGCACATCACTCAGGTCATAGACATTTGTGATTTTTAAGAGCCATATTAAAAGTTTATAGTATCTTCTCAGTGAAGATATCATGATTTCAAGTGTTTTTACACAAAAGCATTAGAGTTTTTCTGATACATTTTTTATGCTGGAGACGTTTGCTTTCTATTTCAATGATCTTAAAAACTAGATAGTTTTTATACAAAAGTTTTCATAGTTTGTATCCTTATGTGAGCTAAACTTTTCTCTCATGGTTAGGCTGTGCCCTATTTCTTCATTCAATAATGTTTAAAGGTAACTATTCTGCAGAGAAAAAAAAATATTGAACCAGCATCATGTATTAGTGCAAAAGGAAAATAACTCAATTTAACAATGTACCATGGGTTAATAATATATATAGAATGAATTTAAATTACAGTTTGAAAACTCCAATATCTTAAATAGATTTTGTTAGCTATCTAACAAGGACAAGAAACAAATGGTTAAGGGAGCATAAACATCAAAATGGAAAAGAAACTTAGCAAAAGTGTGCCTGATCTTGGGTTATGACATTCTCTTTAATTCCCAAGACCCACTGCAATTTAAACAAAGTATGTAAGAGAGCAACGTTGTCATTTTATTCCAGAATATCAGCAAATTCTTTCATACCCCAAGGAGAAGATTAGAATGTGAGTTGTTGGCTGTTTGGAGGGGAAAGGTGTGGAAATGCCATTGCTTGAGGTGATAGGCAAAGCTAACTTCTCGCTCTTCCACTTAAATTACTTATATTTGATAGGGAGAAGCATTTCATTGTATCAGACTTCTCCAATATTTTTAAATATTAAAACAAAGGACTAAATAAACAGAGGGCATAAATATAATGCAACCATTGCTTTTTAATCATAATCTTGAAAATGTTCCTCCTCAGATCAATTTTTAAAAACATAAAGTTTTCTGTTCTTCTTAACACCTTTCTGGGTCATTTCTATACCATGAGGTAAAAACTAAAAGAGTTGATAGATTCAATTCAAGCAAGTCCCATAAGATAATATATACACCCTACCCAAGCCCCAGGTACCTGAAAATACCAGCTCAGACACTTAACCACCCAGCATGGACTGATTTGAGCAGAACCTGTCTTCTCCTGTATATTAAAACATTTAAATGGTTGCTATTTACTCAAAAATGGATTTTGACTTAGACTTCTGGAGAATGTGCTGATACATTTAGGAGAAAATATAACTTTGATAATATAAACAAAAGAAATAATTTTCTAAGAGTCAGTGAATTTACCTGTCAAGACAAATGCTTATGTTTGAATAGTTTATGAATAATGGTAACAAATTTGGCAATTCAAAAGAGAATATGATTTAGTTCAAAAGTTTTAAAGGACCATAATAGTTTAAGCAATCTAATTCTTGTATTTTAAAAATTTATTATGCTCTATTTAAGATAATTTGAGTGTTTTGTATGTATAAAGTGAATCTCTTTATTCCTATCTTTGTGAGTCTCTGTTTTTAACTTTCCACTAGACAGAGGAATGGCCATGAAGGCAAGGGACCTACTCAATTTTGTGGGGGTTCATTGAGCTCTTAAATAGGATTAAGCTTCATACCCGCCCCTAAGGCCTGTCATTTCTTTTTCTCTTACAAAATGAATGTAGTCTATTGTTCCTTATTAAGAAAGTCTATTTTTAATCTGCATGACCTCTCATCCAAGCCAACTGGAACTAACTCTACCAGGCTTTGTGAAGCTGTAAACAAAATCATTCTGGGTACATTCCATTAATCATTCTTTAATTGTAGTTGTGTACCATAAGTAGCTATCTTCTATTCTGATCCACGTTGCTATGTTAATATAGCCCAGTGAGATCAATTCTCTTCTTGTCTCCCACTCTCTGATGACAAAAATTCCAAGGGAAAACAATTTTGAAATAGCTTCTTATGGATTCATTTATTCCACAAATACTTACTGAACAACATGTTCTAAGCATCATATTAGCTATATCAAAGAAACAATTATAAATAAGGCGTGATCTCTGTCCTGAAGGATTGCATAAGGCAGAAATTCTCTTCCTCTTCTCAAATGAGAACTTCTTAACCCTGTTTATTTAAAAAGCTTCTCAGGAAAATAATGAAATTAAAACATTGTTTTCAGAAAACTCCGTATCAGAAAGTGCATCCTTAGAATCTAAAAGAGTTCATTTAATTTCTTTTTTAAATTATTAGAATTAATCATGTAAGTATCAATATGTATAGTTCTATCCAATACATGATATTTTCATATAACTTCCACAATGCCATCAGAGTCTGTATACCTCTAAAAAGTGCCATTGATATATTATCCAGGACATCTGCTTCCTATTTGTGTGGGCTTTAGCAGTTACCTCCTCATTTCTCTCATTTCCAGACTATAAATAAAGAATCTGCTGTGTTGTTGTAAGCTAACAATGCTTGGCACAAAGTAGGCATTAAAAAGTGATAACTGTCCAGGCTCATTGGTTCACACCTATAATCCCAACATATTGGAAGACCAAGGCTGGCGGAATACTTGAGCCCAGGAGTTCGAGACCAGCCTAGGCAACATAACGAGACCTCATCTCTACAAAGAATCAAAAAATTCTCACATACCTATAGTCCCAGCTACTCAGGAGACTGAGGTGGACGGGTCATCTGAGCCTAGGAGGTTGGAGTTGCCGTGAGCTGTGACCATGCCACTGTACTCCAGCCTGGGTCACAGAGTGAAACTCCAACTTAAAAAAAAAAAAAAGACAGCAGTTTTTAAGCTAATTAGTTGTGCTTATAACTACTGTATATAGGCCAAATAGACACTAGCTATGTCACGGCTTTCCCTGTGTGCACTACAAATTCTACACACTTCCTCAGGCCACCAAGCTGGCCATGTGGAAGAAGGGAGAGATTGCTTTCTCCGTGAGTCTTCTGAGTAAGTTAATTCAAACAGAGGCTGTCACAGTATAGGCAGCGTTGGTTACGTTTAAACCTCTCTTTAGAAATTATTTTCTTTACTAAACTGAAATTATTTCTTGTGAACAGATAGCCTTTGATTTTCACAAAAGATTAATCCCTGAGAAATATACATGCTTCATCTCACTTTGCTATGACTCCATTATCCTCCTATATTCCTAGTCCCTGAAGTCAGTGGATCCTGTCTACCCAGCAAGCCAGCTAGGTGCCTGGGTTCTTCCACTACTCTCACCCATCCCCTCATCTCTCGCACACAATGCTGTAGGCATTGCTCCCTCATCATCCCTTGTCTATTGCTCTGGCCATTGCTTTTATGCAGGACTCCACTTTCCACTGGACTTCTGGACCAGCGTCCAGAACTGGTTTTTCTGCCTTACCCTATTTATTACATCATCACCAGAGTTATCTTTGAAAAAGCACAACCTGATTGTATCCATTTCTGCTCCAACATTTCTCTGTCTCCCTATTAGCTACAGGTTAACATTAAACTTTCTTAGTTGACATGTCTGGCTATTTGTCATCTGGATGGAGTATCACTTATTTTACCGGATAGGTCCACTTCACCTCTCAAATCAATCCTTTGCCCTAGTTCTCCCTGGCTCTGTGCCCTGAGAGGCAGACCAGGGTGAACTAAATCCATGAGATTTCCTCCTTTATGTCTTCCCCATTCAGCCAATGAGGAACCTCAGCAGAAGACTAGGAATGGCGAACAGAAGGAGGTGGGCCAGTGAGGTTGGTGTGTCTCTTAGGCTGCCCTTTCCACAAAGTTTCTGGATGCTGACAACCATTCTTTCCTTCTGCCCCGTGATTTTCTTACACTTTTATAAACAGTCCTGTTATTAAACCTCTCAATTTATCCAATGTGCCTGCTGGGATATTTGTTTACTACTGGGCGCCTCACTGATATACCTACCAATGTTATATCTTGGTTGGTTGGTTGGTTGGTCAGTCTGTCCACCTACAACTACCACATCCAATCACAGAATCACTTTTACCTCTGTATCTTTCTACTTCTGCCTAGATCAGTGGTATGCAACTACCACATGATGATAGGTAGAGATCTAGACAGAGGTAGAAAGAAAGGACAGCTTATTTAGAAAAATAAATAAATAAGGATCTTTTTTTTTTTCATCAGAAATGAAAATAGTTTCATGTAACCCAAGGAAAGAGAAATGTATCCATCCTTATGACTTAGAATGTGTTCTCCATTGACTGGAAGCACGTAACTGGGAAAATTAGCACTGCATT